TCTTGCTGACAAACCTCTTCACTTTGTTTATGGAGGTGAATTCTCCTCCTGTGACTTCAGTGCACGATGTGGGAAAACAGTCAGAAACACTGTCATTAGGGTCTCAAAACAAAAGTTTACAGAATCCTACTGGGCCTCCACAATATAGGAACTGACAATCCAATTACGAAATGGGCAAAAGATATGGAAAGACCTTTCACAGATGAAGACACGCGAATGGCCAAGAGACACTTGAGGAAATGCACAAAACCACTGGCAATAAGAGAGCTACAACTCCAAATCACAACGAGATTCTATCTCACCCCAGCAGCCATGGCAAAGCTTTACATGACAGCAATCAATAAATGCTGAAGAGGATGCAGAGAGATAGGAACTCTCAAACACTGCTGGTGGGACTGTAAAATGGTACGACTCTGGAAGGCTGTTTGGTGTTTCCTCAAAAAGCTGAACAAAGACATTCCATAGGACGCAGCTATTCTATTGCTTGGAATATACCTCAAAAAAATGAGAACTGAGATGCAGACAGAGATACGGACACTGATGTTCATAGCAACATTATTTACCACTGCAAGAACACAGAAATAGTCCACAAGCCCAGCAACAACTAAACGATTGAGAAATTCTGGTACAGTCACACTATGGAATACTGTGCAGCACCCAGGAACAATGACTTGGAAAATTCCTACATAACTTGGGAGGGACTGGAGAGCATTTTGCTGAGTGAACTAACTCAGTCCCACAAGGACAAATACTGTATGAGACCATTACTGTAGAAACAGAAAGATAACGAGTACAATGTGTGTGTGAACCCAAGGAGGGGAGAGGAGGAGTAGAGGATGAGGATGGAGGCGGGAATCCTAGGGTTTCTCCATTTGATGGATTGGGGGGGGTGGGTAAAGGAAATGGGAAAGATCCGGTGGGGATCTGGAAAGACAGGGAAAGGCTGGGCATAGTTCAGTATTTATTAATTTTAGAAAATATAATTAATTGGAATGACTCTATGAAACACAATGTGAAAGAAGCATAGTATGAAATGCGAGGTATGTGAACTTTATAAGCAAACCAATATAAAATAAAATTTTTTTAAAACAACCAAAAAACCCCCCACTGTCATGGGATGAATCTTAAAAATCCGTCATGCTGCCTGAAATCCGTCAGTCACAGAAAGGACACGGGAGGACCCCCTTATCTGGAATACCTAGAGCACACAGGGCGTGGAGAGCCGGCCGCAGCAGTGGGAGGTGGGCAGGACGAGGGAGCTGGGGTCACAGCCCACAGGGATTCCCCTAAGGGAGTGTCCGCTGAGGAAGATGGGAAGTCTGGAAATTAATAGGGTTGTGGTTGCACAACACTGAGACTGTAATTAACGTCCTCGAACTGCACATGTAAAAATGGTCCAAGTGGCAAATGTTTTGTTCCAAACAGAGTCACCACAATAAAAAAAGACACAGAAAAACATACGAAACTCAAAACACTGTAATTACCTGAACCCATCTTTCTAAAAGAAGCAGAAAGAACTATCAGTTTGAGGGGTGGGCCTGCACTCCTGGGAACACTGTGAAGTTTATGGGAAGGTCCAGGGTCGGGAATGGACATGGTCAGGCTGGGGGCCTGACCCCAAAGAAACAGCGCCTTTGTTTCCTGCTGACAGCTGGCTGTGTCCTGGGTTCCCGTGCTGGGCAGGACAGAGGTACACACGGCCTCCCCGACATGGGAGACGTGAGGTGCTGACCTCAGCCCACACTCTGAGCTTGGTGACCTGCTGCTGGACAGAGCCATGCTCGGGCCTGGGTCACCTCAGTGTCTTCTCCTGGGCAGAGCTAGAAATGGGCCTGGAGGCCCTGATGCCCTTCAATCACCCCACCTCTGGGAGAGGAAGCCTGCTGGGCTGGGGTGGGGGTGCTTCCTCTCTCCCGCCCAAATCCCCAGAAAGAGGAATTAAGGATAAAACTGCTTTTCAACACCAGAGTTTTATTTTCACCGTCTCGGGCTTCCATCTCGTGCCGCGGCTAACCGAAATGAAGGTCAAGAATAGCCACCCCGCCTCCTTCGCCCGACTTACAGTGGGGGCCCGGGGGGCCCGGTCCTGTGGCCGCCAGGGGTGACAGGCCGGCGCAGGGGTTCGTCCACACTGCGCCCCATCATCGCCGGGCCTTTCCGTGGCTTGCCCGTGCTCTTGCCCGTGTTGGTCATGATCTGAGGGGAGAAAGGACGTGGCTCACACGGCTGTCCACGCTGACTGAAGGAACACAGGGACAGGCGGCCATGCAAGCAGAGGCCAGGGTCACCCAGAGAAACAGAAACGGAGGGGGACGTCCTTAGAGTTAACAGGGGGTAAGCATTTTTTTAAAAACCAACTGCAAGAAAAAGAGAAAAAAGTAAACGCAAGCAGAGCTCAGAGATACTGGAGATTCAGTTACAGACTATTAAAATAAAGTGTATATATAGCAATACAGAGAGTCGTCCACATTTCTCAAGTTCCCCCGTGCATACGGACGCTATGTTTCCACGACAGCAGAGTCTAAGTGAGCAATGTTGTTGTTTACCATTGAGTCAGAACCGATCCGTAGTTGACCCTCCAGCAGGTTTTCAGAGTCGGGAAACTGCATAGGAGTTGAATGCCCATCTTTCTCCCACAGAGCGGCTGGTGGATTTGAACTGCACACCTTTGCAATGGCAGTATAGTTCCTTACTATTAAGCCATCAGTGTTCAACGGCATCACAAACATGTTTAGACTATTATCAGAATTACCAAAAAATGGGACAAGGGAAATGCAGTGAGCTCAAGCAGTGGGAAAACTGGTGCCCGCAGACCTGGGAGAGACCGGGCGGCTGCGACCTTTGATTTGTAAGAACAGGTAGTGTCTGCAGCGCAGTAAAACGAGGCAACCGTAACTGACGACAGCAGCTTATCTCATCTCTGGAGAGTCGAGGATCTTGACAGTGAGAGGGACAAAAGACTGACAGATTTGGTGCCAAAAAAGCAAAAGCAAAGCAAAGCTCCACACACACACACGAGGTTAATGAGAGGCCAAGTTCACAGGCAAACTACCTGGGAGGCTGTTCCACAATGGACTTTACAGATAAAAGGTTAACGCTCTCCATACACATGTGCTTCACAAACCAACAAGGAAAACACTAACTAGATAACTGGCAAACAATTCAAACAGCCAAGTCACAAAGTAGAAAATATCACCTTTAAATTGAAAAGGAGGGGGGCGGGAGGGGAGAATCAGCTTTACCAGTAATGAGAAACACCACCTTTCAAAAGGTTTTGTTCTGTAGCTATCACACGAGTCAGGAGAGGCGAGTACCGTGGCCGGAGTCCAGCCTGACTCCACGGTGCCCGGGGACCCTCGCACGGCTTTCCCGGGCTATAAATCTTCACAGGAGGAGGCTGCCCGTCTTCCTCCTCAAAGCAGTGGGTGGATTTGAACTGCTGACTTTTGGGTTAGTAGTCTAACATACTATGTATTATGCACTGAGGTTCCTTTCTAAAGCATTAAAAAAAGTCTCAGATTCTTTGATGCAGAGTCAGAATCGCCCTGTAGGTGACCCGCCTCTGGGCTCCCGCTGTGACCGGCAGGGGAGGAGACAGTCCATCCTTCCCCTGACGAGCAGCTGGAGGGGTCAAACCAGCAGGAAGTACAGTCACTGGGTTAGCACAACTGCCAACGGCCCCACAAGAGCCTCCTCTTAAAACGTCAGGGGTGGTGAAATCTGGGATTAACACTTTTTTTAAAAAATTTTTATTGTATTATTTTTACGTGTACTGTCAAATCATATCTGACTGGTACAGGAGGAGATTGCCCCTCCTTCTCCAGCACAGTATCTGGTGGATTTGAACCATGCACCTCTGGGACTGCAGTGCAGCGTCTTGCCACTAGGCCACCAGAGCTCCCTAACACGTTCTAACAAATGATTTGGTATTTAAATCAAGGGCTGGGAAAAAAAAGGTTCATATCCTTGGGTGATTCACGGAGTCTAATGAATGAATTTAAAAATACAAGAAATAAAAAAGATTTCATAAACAAGATCATTCTGCAGTGTTTCACTACAGACCTCCAGGCCAGCACTCAGCCCACCCACCAGGCTGTGTCACAGAAGAGGCCTGGCCACCTGCTTCTGGAAAGATTACAGGTAAGAAAACTGCAGTGAACAATTGTGCCTGTAAGACATGGAGCTGCCAGGTGGCAGAATGGACTTGACGGCAAAGGGTTGGTTTGGTTTGTTCATGACACAAATTCAAGAGGAAAACTGGAGCCGCCTCACTTTTCAGTAGGCAGGGTGATGAACCGAAACGTGCCACATGAAGAATAGGTTTACGAAGAAAAACCTTTGTTGAAAGCACTGAAAAATCAGGGTACGGTAAAAGTGCACCAGAAGGCGGAGTGCTGACCAACGGTAAAACGACCACCGTGGTACAGCGCAGCAGAACCAAAAAGAACTTTCCTCTTTCTGCTGTTTCCCAAGATACGGCTATTTTCTGTTACTATCCTTTCCTTTTCACTGCCACCCAGACAGTTCCAACTCACAGCGACTCTATGACGCTTCCAGGGATGTAAACCGCAATGGGAAGAGACTGCCCCCCCTTCCCTTGAAGAAAGCTCTGGTGGATTCGAGCCCCCAGAGAGGCACAGCCTTGGAATGAGCAGCCCAATTCACTACGGACAACACCACTTTTATATGCAAGAGAAAAGGTGTTTCAAAAAGAAATCTCTGTAAAACTGGTAAAATCAAACAAGGAACTCATGCAATAATATGCAAAATGGGTGAGCCTGGAGGACATTATACTGAGTGAAATATCTCAGTCACAAAAGGACAAATATTGCATGGTGCCACTGCTGTAAAATGGGACTGACATCAGGGTTGGGGTAAGACTGAGAAAAACTGGATAAATTGTGTATACTGCACTGAAACAGGTGAGGGAGAGAATAATTTAAAAGCAATGTATGAGGGGAGCTCTGGTGGCCTAGTGGCAAGGAGCTGCAACTACAATTGCAGAGGCTCACGGTTCAAATCCACCAGATGCTCTGCCGGGGAAGGAGGGACAATCTCCTCCTGTACCAGTCAGATCTGATTTGACGGTACATGCACACAAAAATAATAAAATTAAAAAAAAATAAAAGCGATGTATGATAGGGTATTATGGTTATCACAAGAGTCCACAATTAAGGTTGCATAGTGGAATGTACTTGGGGCAGTGGGAGGGGTGCAGGGGGATTGTGTATCAGGGAGGGTGTCTTTTACTTTCTTTTCAAAGAGAGGAGCGAACTGGGGGGGGGGGGGGGGGGGGGCTGGGCGAGGAGAGAAGTGCAACAATGAATGAATGGAAATCCAAAATCTCTGTAAATGTTCATTAAAATTATTAAAATAAAAAAAATTAAGAAACAAAACCTGGTGAAATCTGGATAGGTCTGCGGATTGTCCCAATGCTGAGCTCCTGTGTTTGATCCTGTACTGTTGTTGATATGTGCTGTCGAGTCGACTGTGACACTCGGGACCCTATGAGCCATGGCTCTGAACTCTGCCCTGTCCTGAGCCAATCTCACCCTCTCGGACACACCTGACTATACTGGCACACTCAGTCAATCCGTCTCATCCAAGGTCTTCCTCTCCTGCACTGTCCCTCCATACTTCAAAGCTTAATGCTCCTCTCCAAGGACTTGCCCCTCCTGATAACCTGCTCAAACTATGTGTGACGGAGCTTCAAAATCCTCACCTCCAGGGAGCCGCCTGGTTTGACTCTCACCAGGACAGATCTGTTTGTTCTCTTAGCCATCCACTGTCTGTTCAATTCTTTTCTCCAGCACCACAACTCAAAGGCATCCATTCTTCTTTTGTCATCTTTAGAGTACACTGTCAGAGGTGGTGGTGGTGGTTGGTGTGTATGGTTGAGTCAGGACTGACCCATAGCTGACCCTCTGGCGGGTTCTCAGAGGCAGTTAATCGCATGGAAGATTGACCACCCTTCTCCAAGGAGCAGCGGGGGGATTGAAACCACGTGCCTTCAAGATTCCAATGCAGCTTCTTGCCACTCGGCCACCGTTAGACGTGTTAGTTCCAGTTTACAACGAACCCGTGAACAGCATCTTCATGATCAGGGTCACGTGTGGGTCCGCTCATGCAGTCACTCTGTCAATCCAGCTCAGGAAGGGAGTCTTTTTTCTTCTTCTTTTCTTTCCTGATCCTCTACTTTTCCAAGCATGATGCCCTTTCTCCACGGGGACTAACTCTTCCTGATAACATACTCAAAGCGTATCTTAGCATCACTGCATCTGAGGAGCATTCTACTTCTTCCAGAACAAATTTGCTCATTCTTCAGCAATCTGTGGTATATTCAATATTCTTTGCCAACACCATAATCTGAATGGATCAATTATTTGGTTTTTCTTAGTAAATGTGCAGCTTTCACATGTATATGAGGTGACTAAAAATATCATGGCTTTGATCTGGCCCACCTTAATTCTCAAGGTGACCTCTTTGATTTTTAACCCTTTAGACAGGTCTTTTGCATCAATAAAATACATTGATTAATTTCTTGACTGCTGTTTTGATAGATGTTGATTACGAATTCAAGCAAAAAGAAGTCCTTGACAACGTCAATACTTTCCCCATTTATCATGATGTCGTGAGGATTTCTGTTTTATGTTGATGTGTAATTCACACTGAAGTCTGGAGTCTTGGATTTTTATCAGTACACCTCTCAAGTTCTCTTCAGTTTCAGCAAAGCTGGGTACCTGCTGCAGATCGCTGACAAGTCTTCCTCCAGGTCTGATGCCCTGCTCTTCTTCATGTAGTCCAGCTTCCCAGATTACCTGTGCAGAACTCATACCGGCTAAACGTGGTGAAGGGATGCAACCCCAGTGTACAGCTTTTCTGGTTTTAAATGATGCAGTATCCCTCTGTTCTGTTTAGTCATCTGTCTCCTGGTCTCTGTACAGATGTCACATGAACAAGATGAAGTATTTCAAGAATTCTCATTCTTTGCATCATGGTGGATGTAGAAGAGACTGAAACTCTCAGCAACTTCATCTTAGTTGTAGCCACAATTAATACCCTTGGTTCCAGGAAACCAGGAGACGTATTGTCCTGGGAAAGTCTGCAGTTAGGGATCTCTCAAAATTACTGAGGAGCAATGATGTCAGTTTGAGGACTAGGGTGTGTCGGATTCAGGCCATGGTTTTTTCTATCAC